TCCCTTCCTACCTTGTCACAAAGTACAGCTAATCCCAAAGAGCAATCTCTGGAAAAGAGCGTGTATGTGAGAGGGAGCCTAAATGACTACAAGGCCCAAATGCTCCTGCTCTTTCTTGCTAAAAAGACAAGTTACTGGAAGGAAGGGGGTTGCAAAGAGATGTGACCTGGTCTCACCCTCCAAAACCATGGGCTTAAGAATTACGTTGGGAATGGGGGCCACCTGACTAGGACAAGGTATCCACCTATTTCTCACCCTTTCCTGCCGCTGCTGGAACAAAGTGAGGTATAATAAGGTAGTCTAGGCAATGGGATCTACTCACCTCAAGCCCATGCCCAAATGCTTCATTAGGTTGCTTAGCGAGACATTGTTGGCATTAAAGGGTTTCCTCTTCTCTGCAAACTCGTGAGCCAAGCAGATGCGCCAGCCAAAGGGAGGCACCTGGCAGCCCTTGGCTTTACCCTCATAGGAAGCCATCAGCGGCCCAAAGTCCTGCGGATTGCTGTAGCCCTGCTCATTCTGGGGTTGACTGTCTTCAGGGTTCTGGCAGTCTGTAACCTGCACAGCCTCAGTGCCTCCAGTATTTTCAGGGCAATAAGCCCGTGGATCCCCTTTGGCACAGCTGGTCTCTTCCGAGGCTGGGACTCCGGTTCTCATATTCCCTGGATTCTGGGTCCCCACGACCTCGGTGGTCTCGGTTCCCGAGCTTTCTGGTACAAAGTATCTGGCCAGCCAAGCCCAGATGTGGGCGCGGATTGTTGTTAGGTGTTCTCTCGGAGGGCCGGCCTCTGGGGAAAGCTGAGGTGAGCTGGTGTCTCCGTGGAGCCGGGGAGCTGTTGCTGCTGCTGCGGTGGCGGCGACAGCAATAAAGCCGCCACGGTCTCCCCCTCGGTCCTCTCTCTGGGTCCTGGGCGGGAAGGATCGGGTCTCGACGTCATTGGGCCGCGGTGATTAGCTGGCCCTGCCAAAGGGCGACTGGGCCCGCGGAGAGGGGAGGAGCCCTAGGGACCAGCCCGCCAGGCACCGCCCCCGGGGCCGGCCTGGGAGCTCGCGGCAGCACCGGTCCAGTCCCTGGGTCGTGGCACCAGGCCCCCCCAGGAGTGGGCGCCGGGTCCCGCCGGCCGGTATCCGGGACGGCGCTCGTACCCGGGTGCCAGCCCGTGGGAAGGTGACCCAGGGTAGCGGGACCACTCGAGCCCCTTCCGGCCCTGCCGGCCCGGCGCTTCCGGCCGGAAGGGGCTCCGAGGGGGAAGAGGTTGGGGGGGGGGGGGGAGGGAAGTCCCGCCTCTGCCGCGGCCGCAGCCACGCACTAGGTCCCGGCCCGGTGGGGCGGGCGACCGAGGGCCTCGGTGCACCGAGCCCCCAGTTTCGACCGTGCGAGGTGTCCGGGCTAGGGGCGCGAGCTGCCGGGCGGCCGTGGCCCTGGGCTGGGACGTGGAACCACGAGGGAAGGGGGCGGAGGCGGCCTGGGGGTCCCGGCGGGGTAGGGGGAATATTCGGCGCTGAGCGGGGCTGGGGGCTGGGATCCAGAGCGACTCCCTCTCTCTCCGCAGTGCCGAGTCAGCTGCCGCCATACCTCCCTTCCGCCTTCCCGCATCCCAAATCTGGGCGCTTCCCTCTGACACCCTGGTGCTGAACGTCCATTCCCCGGGTCCTCACCCCCAGGCTCACCTGAGACACCCCTCCGGGCCGTGGTACTGACCTCTGATACCCCTTGTTTCCTTCTAGATCCGATTCCGGAGCTGCCATGATTGAAGTGGTAGCAGAGCTCAGCAGAGGTCCTGTGTTTCTGGCAGGGGAGACGCTGGAGTGTGTGGTGACCGTCACCAACCCCCTGCCCCCCACGGCCACTTCTGCATCCAGGTGGGGGTGCCGGTACTGAAGAAGGTGGTCCTTCTGGGAGGAAGTCTGGTATCTATAGTGCTGAGCCAGAGCTCAGGTTGTCCTGTGACTACAGCACCACCTTCTTGCTCATTGTGATCTCATTGTAGGAAAGGCTATTTAACATTTAAGATGTGGGTGACATAGCCCACCACTCTCCTCTCCTCTCTCCTCCCCCACTCCTCCTTTTACCCAGTATACTTCTCTTTGTTTAATGGTTTCTCTTTGGGGTTCTGGATTCTCTGATCCAGAGGACAGCCGCCTCACTGTGTTGGTCTTCTCAGTGTGGTACGGAGTTTGGGGGAGCATTTGTGAGGTCAGGAACTGCCCTCTGATGTCCTCTTTTCCTCCTCCCACAGTGAGGCTCTGGCATGGGCCAGTGCCCAAATCCACTGCCAGTTCCATGCCAGTGAGAGTCGAGTAGCACTGCCTCCCCCTGACTCCAGTCAGCCAGATGTCCAGCCTGAGAGCCAGACTGTCTTTCTACCACACCGAGGTTAGAGATGGGGCATTTGCCTTTGGAGGGGGATGGAATCATTGTTACCCAAGGGTGAAATTGTCAGATTGTTCTGGTGGGTCATTATAGTCTCTGTTGCACTGGGGATGTGGAAGAGTGTAGTTATTGCTTTGGCGGCGTAAAAGTGTTCCTATTTCACAACGAGAAAAGAGGAGTGGCTTGGTTTGGGTTGCCCTTTGTTGGCAGTGCTTACTGCCCCCACTTGCTGTGCTAGCCTTCTCCAGTACTAGACAATGGGGTTATTAAGTTGCAGTCTTATCTTTTCTAGGTGAGAGGGGTCAGTGTATCCTTTCCACTCCACCAAAAATCCTATTCTGTGACCTGAGGCTAGACCCTGGAGAGTCGAAGTCATGTGAGTGACTGCCCCCTGACCCCTCGATTGCCTTCTAAGGCTCCTGGAGGGAGGACCTCTCTGGCTGCTTCTGGCTGCCCTGACTACTACCTCCCAACCAGACTCCTACAGCGAAGTGCTGCCTATAGAGGGACCACCCTCCTTTCGGGGTCAGTCAGTCAAGTATGTCTACAAACTGACCATTGGCTGCCAGCGTGTCAACTCACCCATCACTTTACTCAGGGTCCCTCTGAGGGTTCTTGTGCTGACTGGTAAGTAAGGGTTCCTGGAGGGAAGGGCTGGAGAAGAGCCTCACCAAAGCAGAAATGATCCTTAGAGGGTTTGTGAGAGGGGCTGGAGGGAAGCTTCCTGGTCTTAGTGAAGGTGTGAGGGGGTTGGGGAGAGAAGGTTCTGGAGCATAGGTGAGATGTGTACCTCAGCCGTGGCCCCCCTTACCTACAGCCCTCTCAGGTTGGAGTCTAAAACCCTACCCACTACTCTTCTCTCTGTTCTCTCCCACCACCTCTCCACTCATTTTCTCTCCAGGCCTTCAAGATGTCCGCTTTCCCCAGGAGGAGGCAGTTGCCCCATCCAGTCCATTCTTGGAAGAGGATGAATGTGGCAAGAAGGACTCATGGCTCGCTGAGCTGGCTGGGGAGCGCCTCATGGCTGCCACATCCTGCCGCAGCCTCCGTGAGAAGCCCTTCACATTGTCCCACCCCATCCTCCCCTCATAGTATTCCTGTCTCAGAGATTGAGTCTTCTAGCTGCCACATTCTCCTGAGGATCCAGTGATACCTCACCCCAGATTCTAAAGGAAAAGCCCCACCTTTTGGCCTCTGGCTTCCAGCCCTAGACATTCCCCAGTGCGGACCCCAGGCTTACTGTGTCCCATTCTCCCCAGATCTGTACAACATCAGTGATGGCCGAGGAAAAGTTGGGACATTTGGCATCTTCAAATCTGTATACAGACTTGGCGAGGACGTGGTGGGGACCTTAAACTTAGGGGAAGGAACTGTAGCTTGTTTGCAGGTGAGAAAGGAGAGGGACTTTGGGGGAACTGGGTCTGAAGGTCTGGGTGGAAAGAGAGGGCCTGCATAAAGAGGGGTGGCAGGTAGAAATGGGCAGTGAGGTCACCCAGGATCCCTCTAGTAAAACAGCGTGAGGTTGGGCTGCCCTCCCACCCGGAGTCAGCGCATCCCAGCGCCTGCCAGCACGCACTTCTCTTCTTGCTCCCAGTTTTCAGTGAGCTTACAGACGGAGGAGCGTGTGCAGCCTGAGTACCAGCGGCGCCGCGGGGCAGGGGGTGCCCCCTCTGTGTCTCATGTCACTCATGCCCGGCACCAGGAGTCCTGCCTACATACAACCAGAACGAGCTTCTCCCTCCCTATCCCTCTCAGCTCCACACCAGGCTTCTGCACAGCCGTTGGTGAGACCCTGACTATTACCGGGGGTGGGGGGGGCACGGTAAGATGCTGCGTTTAGGTAGCGTATAATGAATCCTGATTCCTAACACACTCCCAGACATACCCATATCCAGTCTGTGACCCTTAACACTTTCTCAGACCTTCAACCTGTTTCCTGGGTGCACTGACCCCTAAATTCTTAACAGCTTTGCACATCTTCACTCCCCCTACCCACTGGGACCCTGTGATGCACTGATCTCTGACTCGCCATTGCATTTACTTCAAGCTACGAAGTCTTGACTGTCTCACACTTGGGTTATTAGGTAGTTGATGCCATCATCCTTACTGTCACGGTTCCAGTTTACACACTAGATTTCTTCAGCCAAACTCTCGATCCTAGCTCCCTGACCCACACCTCCCCGCTCTTCCTGAATACAGGTTTTTTTTTTCTCATTTGCTAACCACATCCTGTCATTGGGTTTTACTCCTGGCTTCTAATGCTTCTACCTTTATCTTTTTTCCCACAGTATCCCTGAAGTGGCGTTTGCATTTTGAATTTGTAACATCCCGAGAACCAGGTTTGGTGCTCCTACCTCCCATGGAACAGCCCGAGCCTGTCACCTGGACAGGGCCTGAGCAAGTGCCCGTGGACACCTTCAGCTGGGACCTCCCCATCAAGGTGCTGCCTACAAGCCCTACCCTGGCCTCATATGCGGCCCCAGGCCCCAGCACCAGCACCATAACCATCTGAAACTGGCCCACGTGGCACTACTTTCTTCAGGATCCTGAGAACTCAGCACCTGGACTCTAGTAGGGCCCATTTTTTCCACCTGGGGTCCAGTGGCACAGATAATGAGAGGCAGGCTTTCAGCTGTAGCATTAATTTATTTATTCAGAATAAATCGGCAGCTTCTAGTGGTTTCCCTGGAAGTGGCAGCAGCAGTGGGCAGTCAGCAAAAGGGCGGTCGGTTGAGTTTAGCTGGAGTGGGGAGCAGGAGCCGCAGGAATAGGGGTGTTAGCTGAGCCCCACTCTGGGTTGGGCCCTCCCTCTTTGCAGGGCAGCCGGGGGTCAGATTTTTGCACCAGGGAGAACTGGCACGTTCCTGCCTCCCGACGTACCTCACACCCAGCGGGGAAGTCGATAGGATGTTGGGACCTGGGGAACCAAAGGACGGGGAAGGAGTCAGGACAGTGAAGGTCCACCTTTATCCCTGCCTCGCATCCCCCCTCCCAGCATTCCTCCCATATCTTCCCCCAGTGCCCCTGTCCCCCCTAACCGAGCTCTTGCCTGCCATATATGGATATTTTTCGTTTCATAGCAGGAATATTTTCTCTCCAGATCCACCCCAACTCCCCTTACTTTGTAGCCTGAAGCCTTCTCTCTCACATTTTTGTTGGTACCTTCAGGTTCGGCCAGCTTCATACTGCTACTTTGTTCATTCTCACACCACAGCAATCTAGTCATGACCTGGCCATCTCTCAGTCACTTACATCAGAGCCATTCTCTCTGGCCCTCAGTGGTCACTCACGTGTCACAGCAGCCCACACCGACGGGATGCAGGCAGGTGCAGTGGAAACAGTCCTTGCGGAGCCAAGACTCGCCCAGGGTGAAATATTTCCCTTCATGGTGGCAGGGCGCTAGGGAAGAGCAGGAAATGTTAGTGTGCTGGAGCGCAGGGAGTAAGTGCTGCCGCCCCCGCGTTTACCCTCTCCTGTTTCCCAGCTCGGGGGGGTCTGGGTCTTCTGACACAGGATCACCCCTGAGCCCCCTTCCTCCCAGTGCCCTCTGCTCCTGTCCTTCCTTAACGCCTCACCCAGCTTTACCTTGAGCTTGGAAGTAGCACTTGCTGTGGACTCCTGGGTGCTGGAGGAGCAGAGATATCACCAAGCAGGTGATCCCCCAGCCGCCCAGGGTCCCCTTAGCCTGTCCAGCCCAGAGCATCCATAAGGCCATTCCCGCAGTACGGCCCTTTCGGACCGTTCCTGGCTTCTGTTCAGGCTACTCTGGTCTTGTCTCCTTGGCTTTTCTTTGTTTCTCTCCTCGAGTCTTAGTTTCTGTCTTTCTCCCCTGGGCTCCTGTCTCGCACCATCTCCGTGCCCTCTCACAGGCTTGGGGATGCTTATAAAGTGAGGACCCTGGCCCCCTGCTGAGTAGAGCTGGAAAAGCTGTAACTCTGTTTCCTGAGGTGAGGGCATGAAAACAAGAGGTCTAGCTTTAACAAGCTGTGAGAGCTGATTCATGCCCCACACAGCTAGGGGGAGGGAGGTGGCCATGGAAGGGGCACTGGACTGGGCACTTCCCCAGCAAGGAGGTGGGACGGGTGGGGGCCCCCAGGTGGTCCCCAGAACTCCTCCCTGGCCTGGAGAGGAAGCATTCCACCATCTCCCCCCGCCCTGTAACACACACACACACACACACACACACACACACACACACGCACGCACGCACACGCACGCACGCACACACACACACACACACTCCAGGGGTGTGTACGCTGGGATCCCTGCCTGGACCGGAGGGAGGCATTTCCTGGGGATGGCTAATCCTGTGCCCCAGCCAAACCGAGGAGATGCAGTAGGGTGCGACAGCCAGAGGCTCCAGGAGAGCGAACAGGCACCTGGAGTGGAGAATGTTTCTCTCAGACCCTAGGGCAGGGTCTCCTTGCAGTATCCTAGAGATATGGCTGCCCCTCAGAGATTAGGGCTGGGGGGCAGGTGTCTCTTTTTTACAGGCATCCCAGAGATTATCCATTGTTCATCACCCCTAAACATACTGCAAATAAAGGTTCTCCCCGTGTCTGGGGATGGTTCTTTCAAAGAAGAACATCTCTAAATGCCCTAATGGTATGGGTCACTCCAGTTTCACAGAGATACCGCCCTTATCTCCTGTACATTATGGAATGAGAATTTAGGAACTTATCCTCTGACATCCTTTTTTTGGGTTTCCTGCAGGTTCTGGAGAACCTAAAGATGGGTGATTAAGAGTATAGGTTATAGAGTCAGACTCTGGATATAGATCCTGATTCTACTTAAGAGCTGTGTGACATTGGGCAAGTTAGTTCACCTCTCTAAACCTGTTTCCTTATCTGTAAATTGGGATAGCAATATTAACTCATAGAGTTGTCAAGAGGATGAAATGAGATAATGCGTGTAATGCTCCTAGTACCGTCCCTGGCACGTAGCCCTCCGAAAAGAGTGACTCCTGTGGCTGGTGCTAGACGTTCCTTTCTTTGAATGATGGTGAGCAGCTCTGTGTGCACAGCTGAGAGCTTCTGCTGGGGCTGCTATCTCCTATCTCCTGGCACAGAATTCTGCCCCTTTCACACTTAAGCTTCTTGTCATCCCTACCGCCTTCAAAACCTGCCTCCAGCAACATTTTGCTTTTGGTCGGTGTATGCTTGAAATTCTAAATGTCTGTTTTGAGAAAGTGTTGCTAATGAGCCTACTTTTCCTAGGTCAGTACCCTCACTTCTACCCTGGGAAGAGGTATCCTTTTTCCATCCTTCTAGCTAACTTTAGGACTCCTGCTTTTTCTGGTAAGGATTCTGATCCACTTCTTCCCATCCTCACTCAAGTGAACTCTCAAGTTCTCCTTTCTGACCAGTCTAATGCTGGCCATCTCATTGGTACTAATTGCCCCAATCAAGCTGGATTTCTTTCCCTTTTTCACACTTCAAAGACCCCTGTTCCAGCTATTCTCCTCCTACCCACAGGGCCAATCACTTTGGCATTTATTCTTTTTTCCTTGTAAGTCTCTAGTTCCATTTACCCCAAGACTCCCACTCCCTGCCACCCAGTGGTTCAGATCCAACTACTTCTGGCTGACTTTTCCAGAGGGATACCCTTCCTCTCACCTCCTCACCATTCAGACACAACTTCGCCAGTCCGCCCCAAACTCCCTGTTTTCTTCCAAGAAGACAGCTTAAGTGGCTGGAGATGCGGACTGCACCGCACCTTCCCCCTAGTCAGGTCTGATATCCTTTCCATTTCAGAGGAGCACCAAGAGAAGAAAAGAAAACTCACAGAGCAGCAAGGTGCCCGGATATAGGCTGGCGTGTGGGAGGCATGGCCTTGGACTGCTCAGGGCTGGAGCAGGTGGATTAGAAGGCCTGACTAATAGAAGGGCCCAGAAGTCTTGTCAGTGGTCAGTAGCTCTGCTGGTGCCTTTGTGGGGCACCAGCTGACACCCTTGATGTTTGGACCATAGACTACCTTCTGCTCCTGTATCCTGGAGCCAAACCAATAGGGGGCGGACACTAGGGGGGAGCTAGGGAGCTTGAAGGTGGTGGTGGTGGTCATGCTGTAGGCAGGGGGGGCCCGATGGGGATTGGTGTGTGTGAGGTCATGGGACAGGAGAGGTGAGAGTTAACCGCCTGTAATGAAGATGAGGTAGGCATATAGGGGCAGGAGTAGGGGTCTTCTGGAAAGAAAGGCTGGGGCGGAGCCAGGAGCCCTTTCCCAGAAGTTGGGTGGGGGAAAGGGCGGCGGGGAGGTGTTGGTTGAACCCGTTTCTTGCACGCCTGCGGGTGTGCGCGCTCGCGTGTGCATCTGCCTAGCTTCTCAGGGGCCAGAGGCCACGCTTGTGGTTGCCGCGTGTGTTGGGGGCTGGGGGTTCTGTGGTCAGGGCTCAACTCCGCGATGCCAGTTGGCGCGAGGGGGGCGCGACGGCTGGCTCTCGGGCCGGGAGGGGGCGGCTGGCGAGCGCTGACCACGCGGGGACAGAAAAACATCCGCCGGAGGCTCGGCTGGGCGGCGCTCCAACAGCTCCGGGCAGGTGCGCGCGGGGAGGAAGTGAGCGCATTCCGACCCCCCAGCCGCTGGCCCTTCGGTGAGTCACCGCCGACCCCCGCCGGATAGGATAGGAAGGACTGGCAGCGGCGGCGGGGAGGTCTGGGGGCCGGAGCCCCGAGGGGCAGCTGGGCTGGCGTGGGGAGCCGGGGGAGGGTCGTAGAAGCGCCCGAAAGAGTTGGGGGGAGGGCCCCGAGGGGTCCGGGTCTGGGTTTCGCCCAGGCTCGAAGCACCTAACAGACACCCATCGACCCGCAGAGCTTGTGACTGCCCGGGGAGGCGGGCGAGTCCCCGGGGGAACACTGGAGCTGAGGGAGAGGGGCCCCGGGGCAACACCGAGAGAGTCGGGGAGGAGAGACCCGGAAAGGGCCGGGAGAAGTGCGTGGCTGCGGAGCGACAGCGCGGTTGGCTGGAGTGCTGGATAGGCCTGGGCCAGCCAGAGCCTTAGATGGAAGGAGACTTCCACCCAGGCGGAAAAGGGGAAATGGCCACCCCCCCTCCCCCCCAGAGATCAGGTCTGTCCAGAGGCCGTGCGCGCCGAGAGTGAGAGGTAGGTTAGGGAGTAGTGGGAGTTAGGGCTCTTTGGGTACAGTTGTGGCGAGGTCACTAAAGGCTTTGAATGCCGAGATGAGGAATTCGGATTGGCCTCGCAGGCAGAAGATGGTCTCTAAGCAGTAGTGAGGAGCTTAAACGCAAGGTTATCTGTGTCTAGCGCTACTGTCGCCTTCAGTCTTTGCCAAAGGATTAGGCATTGATACTCTAATTTTTATAGTCATTTAAAATTGCATGACTACATTTATCAAACGAGTTAAGTAATTTCGTTGAATTTTTAAAAAGAGAAACGTTGAAGAATCTGATTCAGTATTTGATTTAAAACCCAAAAGTGAGGCTACCAAGATTGTTACATGGCATCGAGTCTTTTCCTTTGTCTTGCTTTTGTGCCATTTTCCCCTCACTGATGCGTGGGAGTTCTTGTGTTGTTAATGCTTCAGTTCTATGTCAGTAGCATAGCAGTTCTAGTTTTCTTCTCCCTCATCTTACGGTCTTTACTTTAAATGTTAACTTTTGTCTGTGCAGCCCTTTAACTTGCACTATGTATCCTAAATCCAGTAAAACATTTCATTGGGCTATAGTATAGAAAGATAAGTAACCCAGCTTTACCATATATGTTAGGTTACTTATTATCGTCTGTGGACATGTATGTAACTATAAAGTTTCTATATTTACCCTGTGGCTGATAGAGAGATACAGCTAAAGTTGTTATTCAGGATAGTATTTCTATAAACAGAGCAATTTATTAGTCTTATTTATCTTCTAAAATCAACTCTACAGTGTCAGAAACTGACGCTAATTCTATCGTGATCTTTTAAATTGATGTTATCTTGGGCCAAAGGCAATTGCAAAGATTAGGATTGTTATAATTTATTTTCAAGATCCTTAAATTCCAGTTACCTTTGGCCCCAAGCAAGAAAATCTGGGTCAGTTAATTTTTTAGAAAGAATATAGTTTCCCACTCTGGGCCCTGTTGTTTTCTCCTGTGCTGTTTCAGCCCCAGCCCTACCTTATTCCTAGTGGCCTTTGCCTTCATTCCTTCTTTGCTCTGCTGGGCATCTTTAGAGGAAAACTTCACACCAATTTCCTCTACCATAAATTCTCTCCCTCCCCTCAACTCTACACTTCTCTTTGCCAACATACACCACTGCTTCTTCATTGATTTTGTTTCTTATAAGCCTACAGCCCTTTCTGGCTCTTTTCCATCTTAAACTCTCTTATGTTGAAATCTCTTTTTCTTCCTTTCTCTTTGGTAAGACCTCGGATTTTTAAAAGGTTAGGCTTTATTTATTCTGCATGATCCACTTCTGCCTTCCTTCCTCTTCTATCACTTTTTTCTTATTCTGGACTCTTTGTACACTTTATTATGCTTTCTTTCAGCAAGGCTTCAACCTTCTCCTTGTGATTAAACATTCTTCCTCTATATACAGCACAAGACGCTTATGCTTCCATTCTGTTTCCTACAAGAAAAAAAAGTCGTCAAATTCACATCTACTTCAGTCTCGTCTTCCAACAGTTTGCATCCAGAGTCATGACGTGGCTATTGTAAAGTCCATTGAGTGACCACTTAAGCTTGGTGTCATGCTAGGCACTGTAATGGTGCATTTCATAATC